CCCCCAAGAGGCCAGATTCAGGAGCTCCTTCTTCAATTGGTGGTATTTTGGTGCCTGCTCCGGCATCGTGGTGGCCATTCCCACCGTATCATTTACACAGGAGAATCTTAGTTGGAGTGTGGCATTTGGAATTCCTTGTGTTGCAATGGCGATCGGTTTCATTGTTTTCCTACTTGGAACCAACAGATATCGATACAGCGTCATTAATCAATCGGATGAGAGCCCATTTCTCAGAATTGGTCGGGTGTTTGTGGCTTCAATTAGGAATTGGCGAGCTTCTGCCTCAACAATAACCTTTGAAGAGGAGGAAGCTGGCACCAAAGACTTGTCTAATTCGGAACAATTCCGGTAAGAATGTTACAAAGTTCTTGTGGCCGGTGAAAATGAGATTGAAAATTCTCTAATGGCTTGACTAGTGAGAGCTTTTATTGAACTTTCACTCTTTTTGCAGCTTATTGGTTCATACTTGTATCTGTCTGTCAGTTTTTCATTGACATAGTGCACATGTTTTGGCTCACTTATAATGTAAGCGTTTATGTAGTTCCTTTCTCCATTGCGGCAGATTTCTCAACAAAGCTTGCATTGTTCCCATTGGTTCAAATTACCAGAACGCAACAGGGTGCAGCATCAGTGAGGTTGAAGAAGCAAAGGCAATTCTCAGGATTGTTCTAGTATGGATCACAGTTGTAGTATTCACCATTGTGATGGCGCAAGATGCCACCTTCTTCACCAAACAAGGAGCTACATTGGATAGATCGATTTTACCAGGTTTTGTCGTTCCCGCGGCTTCACTCGTAGCAGTTATCTCCTTTACAATTGTTACCTTTATCGTGGTCTATGACCTTGTATTTGTTCCCATCGCCAAAACATTCACAGGAAATCCATCTGGCATAACAAAATTGCAGAGAATCGGAACTGGGATGATCATATCTACCATTTCAATGGTGGTTGCTTCTCTGGTTGAGAAAAAACGTTTAAGAACCGCACTCGAACACGGTCTGATTGATAGGCCTGACATAACAATTCCAATGAGGTTCTGGTGGTTGGTTCCTCAATATGTGCTGAATGGTTTGGCAGATGTTTTTACAGTGGTTGGGCTTCAAGAGTTTTGCTACGATCAAGTTCCAAAGGATTTGAAAAGTGTTGGACCTGCCATTTTTATCAGCATGCTTGGTTTGGGAAGCATTTTGAGTAGCCTTTTGATATCTGTCATTGATATGGCAACTAAAGCCAGTGGGAAACGAAGCTGGTTTTCCAACAATCTGAACCAGGCACATCTTGATTACTTTTACTTGCTGTTGGCTGGGCTTAGCGTTCTTGGGTTCATTGCTTTCCTTTTTGTTGCCAAATCCCACGTTTATAACAACAGGTGACTCACCTTGCAATATTTCTTTTTTCTTTTCTTCGATTAAATCTTATCCTCTCAATTAAAACATATTTGTAGTCCTACATTCTCGTTCTTGTACTTTTTTTTTTTTAATTTTACTTTTGTAAAAATTTAGTTTTTTCACAGGTACAGTGGTAGATATGGCAAAAATATCTAGTAAAATAGTAACCACAATTAATTTTTTCAAATATAACACTTTAAAAACTAAACGGAAGTCCAATTTTATGATTACTTTACTCAAATGATATACATCTGTAATATATATGTATATGATGTACATCTGATTTACTACCAATATGAGTATGTGACATACATGCAATATGTATGTGATATATATTATTGATATGAGTGACATCTGATATACTACTATAAGTGTCTCTGCAGTATGAATGTGATATACTATTGATATAAGTGTCTATATAATATGAATGTGATATACATGTAAGATGTTACTGATATGAGTATCTGATATACTACTGATATAAATGAAAATTTTTGCTATATTTGAATATTTTAAAAACAAGTGATATATTTTAAAATACATAAAAGATTTTTTCTATCCACCACGATATTCTTTTTTTATTGTGCGGGGAGCAATTGAAATTCTGCATTAAAATCGAAAAGTAATCCAATCATTTGCTTATTGTGCGAGGAGCAAAGTTAATTTCCCGTTCTAGACTTTGTATTTTCAAATGTCTCACTTTAGTTTTTGAACTTTTAATAAATTTTAGTTTTGAATACTATTTTGATCTTTGTCAGTCTGAGCATAACATATATTATCGACTAAAAATCAGAAGTTAGAACCTCCAATTTCATTGAACTACAATAATTATTTAGGTCTTTATACTTTTAAATAATGATTATTTTGGTCTTTATTTGTAAAATTTTGACGGATTTTATACATAATGAGAATTCTATAATATAAATTTATAGTTATATTTAAAATAAATAAATAAATTTTATGTTAAAGATACATAACCTGACTAGGAGCAGTTCTGAAAAGTATTTTTTTTTTAGTTTTTAAATTTTAATTTAGATTTTGAAAATGTCAAAAAAAGTTATTGTTTATCGACTTAATTTTAAAAAATAGAAAATTAAGATCAAAACGATTGTCAAACAAGACAATAGTACATTGTTTTTTTAATTAAAATTTTTTTATTAAAATTAAAAACTATGATGTTATATATTTGTCAATGTTTCATATTTTTATGGCTTGTGAAAGTCAATGGACTAGAAGTTGTGTTCTCAATAAGAATGCAAAATGTTTCTAAATTAAACATGCCCAGAATATTGGTGGCAAGAGTGGTATATTTGCCAAAGCAACCATAGTTCAACGATAATTGACATATATCTCCAATGAAGAGGTTGCGAGTTTGATCTCCCTCCCCCACTTGTATTAAAAAAAATTGAGTTACATAAATATGTTAACGAAATAATAATTTAAGGATAAACTAATTTTTTTTGTTAACAAAACTTGACAGCCTTTTATAAAATTGAGAGTTCGAAAAGATTAAGCATTATATTAAATTATTGACGTTAATTTAAATATAACTCAACCAGTAAAAACACCTATTTCTAAATAGTGAGTTGGAAGGGTGACCTTAATATTTAATTCAAATGGATTAGTTAGTGCTCCTCATGGTCCGTGTGGGTAATATAATAGAGGAGAAGCCAAGATGTCCAATTCCAATGTGCAACGGATGCGCATTATCTTCCACAATCCGATAAACAAGTTGTTCAACTGCCACTGCCATTACCAGGACCTTCCACCTCCACAATAATGGCAGCCCAAATTCCGCTGCTGAGTGACACAGACACCGTTGGCGGTGCCGTCGATTACAGAGGCCACCCGGTCCTCCGCTCCTCGTCCGGCGGTTGGCGGTCGGCGCGGTTCATAATAGGTAAATTAAGCTCCTCAATCTCAATCTTAATCTCAATCTTAATCTTAAATGTGAATGTGAATGTGTGGACTCATTTTTTTATTATTCAATGGTTGATTTAGGAGTGGAAGTGGCGGAGAGATTCGCGTACTACGGAATCAGCTCCAACCTTATAACCTACTTGACGGGGCCACTGGGCCAATCTGTGGCTGCGGCCGCCGAGAATGCCAACATCTGGTCCGGCCTCTCAATGCTCCTCACTCTCCTCGGAGCATTTCTTGCCGATTCCTTCTTCGGACGCTACCGGACCATTGTTTTTGCTTCTGCTCTTTACGTCTTGGTCTCTCTCTGCCTTTCCCTCCCAAATTTATGTCCCCATTTAAAACTTGGTTCAATTTCAACAACTCCTTGGGATTTTGGTCAATTTAGTTTCGTGCCAATGGGTTAATTTCAGGATGATTTCATAGTTTCAGGATGGGTTTATGCGTTTGGCTAGCAGGATGATTTCATAGTTTGACCACACTCATGTTGCATATAGGGGCTAGGATTGATTACTCTCTCAGCATCTCTTTCCACAGCAACTTCCGGCTGCCAAAATTCCACCGCAACTTGTTCCACTCCCCAGCTCGAGAAGGTCTTCTTCTTTGTGTCTCTGTATTTAGTGGCAGTGGGGCAGGGTGGGCACAAGCCTTGTGTCCAGGCTTTTGGAGCTGACCAGTTTGATGGGGAGGATCCGGAGGAGTGTAGAGCCAAGAGCTCCTTCTTTAACTGGTGGTATTTTGGTCTGTGTGGAGGTTCCTTTGTAACTATCTCTGTCGTCATCTATATACAGGAAAACCTCAGTTGGAGCCTTGGATTTGGAATTCCTTGTGCTGCAATGGTGATTGCATTCCTTGTGTTTGTGCTTGGAACCAAAACATATCGATATAGCATTACACAGCATGGAAAGAATCCATTTCTAAGAATTGGTCGAGTTTTTGTTGCTGCAATTAGAAACTGGCGAACTCCTCCTCCTTCACCAATCAAAATTGAAGACAGTGGGAATACAACAGTTTCATCTCAACAGTTCAAGTAAGAATATGGGACTTTCTCCACAACTGAAATTTTCAATTGTACAATAGCCGGCGTTGTAGTATGCTTACTGACATTGGTTTGTGGAAATTGGCAGATTTCTTAACAAAGCTTGCTATGTTCCGAATGATTTGAACCATGGCAGGACTGCTTGCACGAACGATGAGGTTGAAGAAGCAAAGGCAATTCTCAGGATAATTCCAATTTGGATTACAACACTTGTTTTTGCTGTTGTGTTTGCACAGACAGGCACCTTCTTCACGAAGCAAGGGGCTACGATAGATAGATCGGTTATGTCGGGCTTCACCGTGCCTGCTGCTTCACTTCAGTCCGTCAATCTCCTTGTCTGTGTTGTGTTTGTGTCCATCTATGATCTTTTATTTGTTCCAGTGGTAAGAGCTTTAACAAGAAACCCCGTTGGCATAACGAAGCTGCAGCGGATTGGAGTTGGGATGGTTTTATCGGCTGGTTCGATGGTGATTGCAGCTCTAGTTGAAATAAAGAGGCTAAAAATTGCTCGCCAACATGGGCTGATTGATCTGCCTGAAATTACCATTCCAATGAGTTTCTGGTGGCTGATTCCTCAATACGTGTTGCTTGGAGTTGCAAACGTTTTCACAGTTGTTGGTCTTCAGGAGTTTTTCTATGAAGAAGTCCCAAAGGATTTGAAAAGTATGGGGCTTGCTCTCTATGGGAGTTTGTTTGGAGTGGGAAGTCTTGTGAGCAGCTTTTTGGTGTCTGTGATTGACAAAGCTACTCAGATTGATGGCCAAGATAGTTGGTTTGCCAACAATCTAAACAAGGCACATCTTGATTACTTCTATTTTCTGTTGGGTGGGCTTAACTTGTTTGGATTTCTGGGCTTTTTGTACAGTTCCAAATCTTACATTTACAGTAGCAGGTCAGCTACAAATTGAACCCATCGTTCTAATCTTCAATATTGTCAATGCAAATGTTTCTTTCTATTCCGATGCCATGTGATTGGGTGAGAAATAGCTGAGCCTGATATATTTTTTCTTTTAGATATATATTTTATTGTCATGATATCTAGAAAGAGGAGGAGAACAGAATGTAAACTAAATCTGGAACTATGAATGAATTCTTGTACTGAAATCTGAATTCATTGATTTAGTTAGATTAGGTTCTGTGCAAGAGTAGAATACAAAATCTTATAAACTGTCAGGCCTATCTTTAAAACATGGCAACCAAGCCCAATTACAATAGAATTCAGTGACACAACTAGTCCATTTAGGAATACACATTATAAAATTGGCTTAATTATTAAGAATTTACAATTCTATCTAAAGATGGGTGCTTTATAATGGAATTCATAAGAAAATTACCAATAGGTTATTTCTACTATAAATTAAAATAAACATAAAATCATAAAATCAAATTACTTATGGAGTCTCAAATCCCTAAAATCCCTCTCAAATATACTTTCTTCTTTCTCCATGATTTGAAAACTCAAATCCCGCCGTCAGCCGTCATTGCTGCTTGAAGATGCACCGCTGCATGTCATCAGAGGTTACTACATGTGGGTCGTGGCAGGGAGGCCACCACCGAGTTGTTGCTCGTTGACGGAGAAGACAGTTGAGGCAGAGGAGTGGCGTGAAGAAAAAGACAGAGAGATGGAGACCAATGATGTATATACCGTATATATTATAAAAATGTATAAGTGATTATATATTTGTAAGGACGTGATCGTCATTGGAAGAGTGAACAAGAAAAAATAAGTTAAAAGTTCGAGGGTAGATGGGTCATTTGGCTTTTATTACGAAAAAAAACAAAAACAAAAAAAAGAAAAAGAGGTTAGTGGGACACGTGTGTTTTTTTTAATGTGCGTGTGACATGTGTTAATAGCTGGAAAGAAAAGAAATAGGGAAAGAAAAGAAAATGAAGGAAAAAAAATGGAAGATGGTTCGAAGAAAACAGAGGAGAGGGTGAGACCCGATCGCAAGGGTATCTAAAACAAATGGGAAGAAGAAGAAGGTTGGTATTTTTGAAGCCGAACTTAAGAACTTCAACTATGGAAGACAACAAAGCTTGGTAAGGAAATCTGTTCCTTGGAATATTTGAAAATGAGTAGAAATTGAAGAGTAATTTTGTGGTTGTGTATATTATGTTCAAGAACCCATATGAAAGAGTTAAAGAAAATAGATTTTCGTTTCCTTAATTGATTTTACAGATAAGGTAAGTTTTGTTGATGAGTTTAGGAGGTTAAACCAAAAATTGTTGGCTAATTAGATAGAAGGAAGATGATTATGCTTGCTTGAGATTTTCCTGGAATGCGTTAATGGTCGTAAATGGTAAAGAAATTGGAGGAAAAGGGTTGTTGGTGGAGAAAAAAAAAAAGAAAA